TTGGGTGATCTTAGCGGTGGAGAACGTGCATGCGACTTCGCTGCTTGGCCTCCGAAACTGCTCAACTCCTGGAGTAATGGGCCGTAAGATATATGGTCCGAAAATGCCACTGCTTTTGGCTTGGTAATGGAACGAAAGTAGAGTACGACCCAAAAGCCGCCTGGTGATGAACTTGTATTTCTTCTAGGAAGTAATATTAAAGTTCGTTTAGTGATGAGTCGTAGATAGATTCTGTTCTCCTCCAAACGCCCTGGACGGTGACGGGAGAGGAGGGGCGGAGGGCGTGGGGGCGCCGTCCGCCGTCTAATCGACGGCAAGAGGCTGCGACGCAAAAAGTCCCTCGCACTCGTTCGCCTATTTGGGGATCCCCCACCCGACCCTGTAACTGCGTTGCACAACAACTAAACACTCGGAATTAATTACTATTTATTAATACAACATTCTTCTAAAACGATTGTGAAGAAGCACGTTGAATTACACACGCCTACAAAACGTCCAGAGTAGAAACCATTTCTATACTCCGCCCCTTCCATTCCCCAACCACTGGTCACCGCTGCCAACCTCTCCCGCCCTGCCCGTTTCGTGGAGACGCGGCGGCCGCGTCTTTTGTTGGTGGGGAGGGCGGATGCAAGTGATATCAGCGCTAATAGAAATAGCGCGCGGCCGACTTTCGGAGGGTGGGGAGGGTCAGCGAGGGCCTCTGGGAAGCAGTTCGTGCACTCTGAAAGGGAACATCAGAAAGAGAGTTGCCAGTTGTGACATCAGGACTCTTTTGAGTCAGAGAGGCTCTGCACTCTTACAGTAACAACAAATGCATAAAGCAGTCATTGAATGCGAGTTGTTGGAATAGATTAAAAAAGCTTTCAAAAGTTCAAATATGTAAGGGTGATTTCAGACGTTATGCAAACTGTGTAGTATCTTTCGAATAATATAGATGTACTTAGTTAAATATTTATTGAACTCAAGGACATTCCACCACCGAATCTCGTGTGCAATGGTGTCTTCTTGACATCTTCCCCAGAAGTTAGTATGCTAGCGATTGGTTATACAAGGTTTATGTAAGTCACGTAAACAGCGGCCGTATGTAACAGCGCACCAGAAATGCGCCATTGAATCAAACGGAGCCAAGACTGCTGACGTGCCGGAAAGTAGACGATCGCTCACAGATGTTGACAATCTACTTTGTATTGGCGGAAAAATATTTGGAAACCTTGCGGAATTATTATGAACAGTATGAGCTGTAAATGCATTTCCTTTGAGTCTAATGAAAATATGAATTCCATTTAAAAATATTTCAATTTCATCTGGTCGTTGCATGAGGCCTATTTGGTATTAGCATTTTCATGAACATTCTAAAGACGTTCAATCTCGTGTCGTGTATTTCTGCTCAAGACACGGTACAGGCAAATATGTATTTTAAAATTGTCATGATTTTTGCAATGCCCGTCCTAATGTTCATATTTTAGCGTTCTGATAATTTTAAAAAGTATCGTGTGTATGTTTTTTGGTACAGAGTTATTTTGCATGCGTCAACTATGTTAATGGAAGTGACATGAAAGTCCCCCTACAATTTGTAGTGGCTCTTGTCAGAGTATCAACTAACGGCATTCGTCACCAATACATACTTTCTGCACTGAACCTGCTACTGAATCGTTCGAGGAGTTTCCACGGGCTAAACACGGCCACTCGCCGCGCTGTGCGCAGTCGTTGCACAAGTGCTAACGAACCCCATTCACGACCTCGACGGGCGGAAACAACGTTAGCACTAATGACGGTCCCTGCCAGGAAATAATATGTTGCGATAAACCCAAACGATATTGGTTTGATTTTGTGATGAAATCAAACTGTAAAGAGTTTAGAGAAAACGGACTTTCATAAACACACAATTATAAAAATTTCCATGTTATATAATTATTATTTTTAGTTTATTTCCCGTCAAAAGCAAAATTATCTGAAATGTCAAGGTAGTCTAATATTCTCAAAGAGACTTGCTCATAGAATATTTATAGAAAGACTCATGATATAGGTCTGCCGTTTAGTAAATGCCAGGTCAATAGTGAGGAAAAATATTTTTAAACCCAAGTTCGCGAACACATAATTTTTAGTCTCCTAAAATATTTCCTTTACAAAGATCATCATTCTATCGAGCGTAGACAAGTTTTGTGGTTTATGGAGATTATTAAGTGATGGAATACAATAACCATAGAGGGTTAAAGCAAAAAGTTGAGAAAACTCTTAGATAGAAATATCACCAAATTTAATTTTTCATACGGTCTGCCTAATGCTGTATCTAACTGATCGTATTATTTTTTTACATGTTTATAAAATAATGAAGTATTCAAATCTGTAAAAGAAACCTTTCATGGATTCTTTGAACTCTGACTAAAAATCTAGTTCATTATGGTGAAGACAAATTATAAATTTAATTGAAAGAAGTAATTACAATGTAAATTATACTGCTGAAAAATATTCATACAAGGTTACTATTTAGGACTTACAGGTCACCATTTCTCGCAATTCAAAACACCTATAGTATTGGAAACACATTCTTTCCGTCAAGTTACGTTGTCAATTAACGCAAATCCGTTTGCATCCCAAGCAACAGAAAGCTTTGCTATTGTGGTAGAACAAGGCGTTCTCAGCGTTCTTTAGAGGCGCGAGGGAGGGGGAGATGGAGAGGGAAGAGAGGAATGGGGTGGGCCGTGCTCATCCATAGCATTCGAAACGGGGAGAGGCGGTCCCAGAGATGGGCAGTGGGGAAGAGGAGCTAGGGAGGGGAGGGAGCCGCAGCCGAAGAGCGACGTGGGAGGGGCGGGCGCATAAGCAGGAGCTCTAGGAGGGGGAGGAGGGGCCTATTAATCGCACCCTCCCCTCCCCAATGCTTATCGCGACGCGGCGCACAGAGGGCAGCGAAGGCTGTTCGCCTCCGGAGGGACCTTCGCTCTCCAACGCACCCGCTCGCTTTTCAATTCACTTTCAGTCTTTGAAACTGCTATTGTTAGTACTCGGTCATCTTGTGCCAAGTATCAGGTGCGTGATAGGGTGAATTTGTATCACAAAAAAAAAAATTATTTCTTAGTGACGGAAAAACGTCCTTTACTTGAATGTACGATTTTAAAGATTCGCGTACATTTATTGCTGCACAATCAGTAAATATCATTCCCGTGTTTACATTCTGTAACAATATATTCAGAAAATTGTAAAACTTTACCATTGGATATTTCAATTAAAATGAGAGCACTAGAGGTAAACTGAAAACAATATTTTACCACCTTCGTCTAACTAGTCAAAACTAGTGGGTTCAACAACAAATTTCGCCTCAGTAAGTGAAATTACACAAAATAGGTTTACAAAATAATTACGTGCACCTCTGAGAAACATCAAATGAAATACACCCATATAACACTGCAATAAATGAAATAAAACAAAAAAACTTCACCAATGTTGCAATGACAGGGTGCATGCAGGAGAGCTGTTCTTTACTTATCAAGAATATCGCTGTTCGAAAGAAACATCGCTGTTCCGCAGTGCAACACGAATAGCAAATATTTAATGTCGTGCGGGCTACCCTTGGCGCCTTGCTGTCACATAATGTGAGTGGTGTAGTGACGCGTGACCCACGAGAGAATTTCGCGAGGATGAGAATACGCAGAAAAACACAGTCGTTGGCAATCAAAATCACTCAGAGTTTCATTCTGCACTCCAACTCGAAACCCTTTCATTGTTTGCACATTTTTATCGAGTTTTTGTGCAGTGTAGGAATACATGGACACCTCTCACATAACCGGATTCTCCATAGTTTTCTTTCATTTCTGTGCGCATTTGAAATTAGTAATACAGAAGCGGTGACGAGCAAGTCCTCCTCTGCACAAAGCTGCCACACAACCTCTAGATGTTCCCAGGAAGAGAAGATTAAGCTTTTTTTTCGTTTTAACCGTTTTTCTTAATTTGAAACCCTGCTAACTGTGCAATATTTTTAACATTTTAATTTCATATTAAGGATATGCTCACAAGATTTGAAAGTTGAATCACTAACAAGAGGCAAGTGAGTCCGCTCAAAGTAAACGTAAATTCCCTGTTAGTGGCTAACTATAATATCCCTAAAAACATTTAATAACAAGTTCGCAAATTCACACAGGCTCTTTGAACAATCCCTCTAGTTTGGGGCACGGAGGGGGGGGCGGGGGAGTCATGGGAGAGTAAAGTTGCAAACTCCGTAACGAGCGACCGCAAATCGTCACTAACTTGTGGTAGCACCCGAGAGCTTCCGACTAGAAGGAACGTTTTTCAAATTCTGCGGCCGCCGGAGAGATAAAAGACTACGGCACTCTGCTGGCATTCAACATGCAAATAACTGCGAAACTAATGCGCTAAAATGTACATAAAAGTTTCATTTTCGACAATGCAAGCTCTTCTGATGGAATCTGTAAGTTTCATTACAAAATACGACACACGTCAGCAGTTACTCGTATTGATGTATACAAAAAAAGGACGACTCGTGCCAACAAGCAGGGTAGAAATATTTTGACGTGTGGGCTCGACAGATGTAAAGGTGAATAAATGCCCAAATGAAAGTGAAGCTTCTCCGCTCGCCAAAGGGTTACATATGCACTATTATGAATAATGATAATAATAATTTCATGAATCAGACTTACCAGAAAAATATCAATTCATTAAATTTCTCAACATAAGTGAATCTGACAATGAAGCACGTATTGAATAATTTAACTACTGAATTGAATAATCTCAATAGAAATAATACTTCTCCAAAAATTGTAGAGACAAGTATTAGCAAGGAATTTAATATTGTAGCTGCTTCAGAGTACAATTACCCTAATAAATAGTTTTCCCTCCCCCTGCCTAATTTCATGAACGAGAATTTCAAATGCGACGAAATAATTAAAATGTAGTAAAACGCACCATAATATATTCTATTAACACAAAGGAATATACCGACGATACAAATCAAATTCACAATTTAAGAGGATTAATAGACTTACCAAACTTCACAACAGCCGAGCAGATCAGGAACGCCACAGATCAAGCAATATGTTCGTACCTGAAAAAGCAAGAAAAAACTAAGAAATTCAAAAGAACCTGCAAATTTTACACTATATATATATATATATATATATATATATATATATATATATATATATATTAATTTGAAAATACATTTTAAAAATAGGTCAAGTTATTGCTAATTAAAAGTTAATATTTCTACTTTCATTTATTTGATTTCTAGTTGAAATTGTGTTTAAAGAAAAGTTATCAGTCGTGTATTAAAACCATTGTGCAATCTCGCGGTGAGGACTGCAGCATGGGGTATCAGATGCCCTTCTTGCAGAGCACATCATCTTCTCTCATCAGCGGACATTTTAATATCAGAATCTCAATACACGCAATAGCGCACAATTTACTTCAATTGCTTACCTTTAACTTTAACAGCTTCTAACGTGATTCTTTCCAACTTGCTGTTGAAAATGCACTTGATCCCCAACATGGCGGTCGTGAGTTCGAAGCACGTTGAAATCATTTTTTAATTTTATTTTACACTGAATATGGTTAGAATCTAACGAACGTCATTTTAATAATTGTTATTTTAATCACACAATAAAAATACCATTATCGCGATTTAAACCGACTGCTAGACTTAAAGATAATGAATATTTTACACCACCCGAAATTGGTACCTGCGAACAGACGAGAAGTCGTTCGAAACCTAACGGCACAAAAGGAATTCAGAGGGGAAATACCTTCGAAATCTGCGCCAATCACAGATCAGTTTGTTTGCTCATGCGCACAGTAGCCATTCAGAAAGCTGGAGCCAAGAGCCGCCCCTCTCCCAACCTCCTCCCTCGGTAACTGTTTCCGAACAGTCGACAGTCGCTATCGGCAGACGGCCACCCGCTCAAGGCCACTTGCAGGCCGCAGCGAGGCAAAACGAAACAAAAAACGGCGCGACCCCAAGATTGTTTCTTATAATATGCAGATCATTCACTGTTATTTCGCCAGCAACCAGATTCTGGCTTTTTTCCCGTAATAACTTGTCTTCTTATGCATTGCATACTTTTGTTGCTTTTTATACCAATAATAATTATTACAGTAAAAATATTAATATTATAATTAATTATATTATTGTAATAAATAGTTATAATTTTTTCGTATATTAATTTATAGCACGATCATTAAAATAGAGAGATATTAAAGCATCGAAACTGACTTCAATATGAAATATAATAGCGATGAAATATCTTGGAAAGTACTTGTGCCACTACAGGATCGTGTACTCTAGTTACGTAGGGCAATTACGCTCAATATAACAACTTTTTGTGTAAAATTTAAGATAATGTTTTGTTATTAAACATGAACATAATTTTATAATGAAAATAGAGCATTATTGTTTAGAATAATTCCATGATTTCCTTATCCGATTTAGTAAAAACAACAAATGTATGTCGCTTTTCTCTGTACTAAGAATTACGTGGTAACTCTGTACAGCACTAACTTTCCCAAAAATAGTAATATTTAAATTAGAATCATGAAGCACAAAATGACTGCGCACGTAATCTGTAAGATTCGCTCATTTACTGCCGTGGAACTGGATACACCCACTCACAAGCAGAGGCGCACTCTACGGGACTGACAAACTTCAGCGCTGCTCTCCCCCAGAGCTGATAAGAGATGTACTCAATACAATTTAACGAATTGTCTCAAATTAATAAATCTTTTAAAGTCTTCAAAAGAGGCGAATGTCGAAAAAGAAGCAACAATGTTTTTTTCAATATATTTAATACCGCAATTCATTCAATATTTTACAAAAATTCGTTTTAAATGGCTCTATTTGGACAAATAATTAGTTTTCGCTTCAGCATTCCTGATAATCGTTTATAAAAAATATCAAGTCGACTGGTCACAACCACAACAGTCACCATCACACATACACACACAGAAATTCTGATTGTACCCCTGCACAAACTTTCTGATCAATAAAATGGATTAAATCTTCTATTTCTAGGAACTTAGCGTAATAAACTAACAGAGAAATATAATATTATTATTTGGGTTTAGAGTATCAAGAGAAGCAACTATCTCATTTTTACATGTTAGTGTCAGGAAATTAATGAGTTCAGCTTCAGTAAACGTAATGATTAATTAACACCATTTCTGAAACGATGAATTATTTATTTGTATAATATTTCCCTGTGCAATCTACTGGAAACGAAAGAGCTCTATAGCAGCTATTTGACTCAACATACAGTCTGTTCACGAGAGAGAAAATGAACTCGAGCTGTCAATGAAAACGGAGACAGTTGACTGTCGGGAACATTAGAGCATCGATCTGGTCCATCACGAACGGCCAGGGCGGCGACCGCAACATTGAAGCCACATCTGCGGGGACAGATTCGTTATTCGTACTTTACTTCTTATGGCTGCCTTGTCTAAAATCTTAGTTTCAGTAGCATTTTGTTATCGATTATATTGAGATGAGATATGCCATATCCATTTTAAATAGACGACGAAATTAATAAAATGTTAATTGATTTAGAAGAGAAATAATAATTGAATATGTTTTTCAATATAAATGACTTAAGAAAAGAATAACGAGAGACGATAGCAAATGTGAACGCATAATCGTTGGTGATACAAAGTACGTACAAGTTAGTAAAGAGATACGAATTAGAGCTTGGGTTGCGCAGAAAAGACAAAAAGTGAACTGTCAGGTGGACAGCACTATTGTAACACAATGACGGGAGATCAAAATTAGCCAATCATATTCCATGAGCTTCTCGATACGCAGTATTTTAATACGAAAACGCGATACATCAAGTTTCATATGTTAATTATACTAAAATTCGCCAAATAACTGACAGTTGAGCAGTAAATGTCATGAAGAGTGAATGTCTGAACAATTGAGCATTGTTAGTAATATTGAAATTGAAAATTTCGAGAACTTAAGAATGCCGTGAGAAAAAGAAGCCGGCTTACGAAGCAGCGGAGAAAGAAATGGTTTCTGGTAGAAAAAGGGAAATTCACGGACTAAAAGAGGTGTGAATCCATCAAAGAGGAAGTGAAAAATTACAAAAATAAGGCAATTTAACTATGTAAGAGACAAAATAATGTTCTCCTTGGAGTCATTGCTCGTGGTATATTCGTTCGTAGAATTTG